ATAATTATAATTATAATAATAATAATAATTATAAGTATAATTATAAATATAAATATATATATATATAAGTCAATAAATAATTATAAGTACAAATATAAATATATACATATAACAAAAACAAAAACAAAATAATATAAACATATACATAATACAAATACATAGACACACACACACACACCTTATATATATATATATAAGTATATGCGTGTAATCAGTAATCATGTGCTTGTGAATTCGTTTGTAGATATTGAAATCACGGCATACCGAAAGCCCCTGGATCCAACCATCTGGCCGGGCCTTTTGGACGCAGAGTGTACGCCGCGGTACCGACAAAATCGCCGCCATCAACTACAATGTACGAGTCATCTGCCAAAGCTGTATTTACCTATCAAGTTATAAATAGCACCCAATCAGGTTTATGATGATGCAAAAGCAATTCATAGTCGGCTGCGAATACTTTGACTACAATACAGATGTCGGCAGCGGAAGCGATATTCAGCCACCGACTTGCAACGGTGATCAAACAAACAAGTTTAAAAGAGGTACTCATTGTGGTATTAAGACGTCTTTAGTTGCCATGACTACGACATGGACCACGTGCTAGCGATGCACAAAACTACCACTAATAGACAAGCATCGAATCAGAAAAGCAACCCTTTCAAGAGCATAAATTGTACCATGACTATTTTGAGTCGCATGTTACTATGTACATCTGTACACACAAGTTTGAGCATATGTATAAAACGGCATCGATATACTTACACATACACACCTTCTGCAACAAGTGCACGGGATTCATAAGCTTGTCTGGGACGTGGTTGCCGTTCTGTGCGATGGACACCTCTTTAGCGTCCTCTCGCGCCTGCAGGATATTTCTCCACTCCGTGATTTCTCCTGTTATGGTGTGAGGTGTTATGGTGGGAGGTAACCAAACCGTTTAAGACGCTACCAGCTATGTGATTTGAAACAACAACAACAAAACCCCAATAGCAGCTCGCCTTTTAATGATGTAGAAAAGGTACGGCCCGAAGCTTGAGACACCACCATATATATATATATATATATAAATATAAATATATAAATATAAATATATATAAATATATAAATATATATACATACATATATACAAACATTTTCATACATTTTCATACATTTTCATACATATATAT